TTGCTCACCTGATGCCCCCCTCAGTGCTCGCTAAATGCCAACAGCTCGCGTGCTCAACACAACCCAGCGTTACAATGTGCCATAATTCCAGCCAATCAGAGACGAGGCTGCTAAATTCTGATTGGCTGCCTTGACAACCAATCACAACATTCCTTGCATTACCTCCACAGCAGAAGAGGAAAAATACAGTGCATGCATAATTATTATGCAAGTTGATATTCTGATCATATTTTTTTCCAAGCACATTTGACCAATTCCAAAGACATCAATCTTAATAACTACTATTAATCTTGTATTTAATCATTTATAATTAACATATAATTATTCATGAAGGCTGGAAGTGAAAAATGTCTCATTTTCAGGTGTGCATAATTATTAAGCAGATTTTCTTTTACGCTTGTGTTGAGCAAGCAAGCTGTTAGCATTTAGCAAGCACTGAGGGCATCAGGTGAGCAAGCTAGTGAAACGTTGCACTCGCAAAAGAGAAGGTCAGCACACATCCAAAAACTTATTTTAAATGCAAAATTGATTTTCGTGCGCTCGAAATACTTTCTTCTTTGCGAGACAAATATTTTCTCCACAAAACTCAGATCACGCGTGTGCAAAATGCACTTTTGTGCGCTCAAAATATGGTCTTTCATGCGCAAAATTGTGGCAGAGATATAAGCCTATACACGTGACACCGCGTAAACACGCGCGGACAGCATTCACTGATTTACACAAAGAACGCCATACATAGACCTCATTATTCAACATTTATTCAACAAACAACGTTTTCTGTTTAGTTAAATATGACGCAGTCGCGCTGGATTACCTGAGGGCGGAGTTACACTGCTGAACAGCCAATCGCAGCACAGGTTGACACGTGACAGGTCGCTTTGACGTCGTTTGTTTACGGCTGAGCTGAAACTGAAGCGCATTAATGCACGTGTTTACACTAAATTCATCGATAAAAGCAGTGATTTCATGTGAATGTGATACTAACCGCCAATACAGTTCTCACATTTAAAACCTTATATTTAATATTTTATGATGATATGTGTATGTTACAGTACTATTGTTGTCAAGCGATTAATCGCGTCCAAAATAAAGGTTTTTGTTTACATGTGTGTACTGTGTATATTTATTATGTATATGTAAATACACACACATACATTATATTTTTAAAAAATTTTTACATGTACATATTTAGATTCATAAAATTTATATTGTATATAGATATATAAACAACATATTTTTCTTAAATATATACATGCATGTGTGTGTGTAGTTATATATACATAATAAAGATACACAGTACACATATTTTGTAAATGCTTTTATTTTGGATGCGATTAATCATGTTTAATCGTTTGGCAGCACTACACTAAATATACAATTCATCGATAAAAGCAGTGATTTCATAACTGCCTATACAGATCACACATTTAAAAGCTTTTATTATGATAGAGAGTTTTTAACAGACAATGATATGTATATGTTTACACAGGTTACAGTAAGAACATTTGGAGGAAGAGAAAAGATATCTGTATTGGTGCTTTGGCAACATTATGTGTAAAACAATCATGCCAATCATGATCAAACAAATCAACAATCATGACTCAAACGACGCTTGATTTTGTGGAGAAGCTGTATGAGCACAAACTCTGTACATATAGACTGTGTATGTGTGCGGTGCGCTGACAGAAGTCTATTTAGCAGCTGTGGTTTCCTCCAGTGTCTGCAGCAGAAGGTCGTGGAGAGGTTTGCTGAGGGTTTGATATCCAGCCGCTGTCAGATGCAGGAAGTCAAACATGTCATGTTTTGAGATGCTTCCGTCTGATTGGACGAACTCAGCGCTGACGTCCAGAAACTGAGCCGGGCCGAGCCGCGGTACAGACAAGCGCAATAACTCATTCACCTCCGCATTCTTCTCACGCATCGGGTTCTGATGCTCTCCACGAGGAAGAAGACCCTGAGAACGACACACAGAGACTCTGAGTATGTGTGTGAGTAGAGTATGTGTGAGAGAGAGAGTGTGTGTGTGTGTGAGTGAGTGTGTGTGTGTGTGTGAGAGAGTGTGTGTGTGTGTGTGTGTGTGTGTGTGTGAG